ATTGAGCAGAAGATACATACATTTTTCATACATCCCCTGTGTATTTTTTTTTCCCTAAAGATATTTGAGGAATTCTGAAGCAGCAAGTTTAAGCAGAAGAGAACCTCTGAAAGGCAGAACAGAATTGTCAAGAGTACAGGTCTAGGAATTGCAGTAGAGACCTCACCAGGAGAAGAGGCCCCAGGAAATTCTCCAGGCTCTGAGTTGGAAGCCTTCAGCAGGTTCTGCCAAGAGTATGACCACATCAAAAGCAGAAGAAACCTTATGAGTCTGCAGTCCAGTTGAGAGTCAGTTTAATCTCAAATTGAATTAAATTAAAATGATCTTTCCTTCCTTTAATTACCTTGCCGAGGAAACAGTGACTGCTCTCTGCAGGATGTAAAATAATTAGGAGACTATAAACGTTTGTAAAGACAGTGCTTGATATTTAACCACAAATTTCTAGAAAGTTTAAGAAAAGGAATCACAGAACAAAATTTAAGGGGAAGAGGGCAGGCACGATGACTCACACCTGTAATCCCAGCATTTTGGAGGCCTAATTAGGTGATCACCTGAGATCAGGAGTTCGAGACCAGGCTGGCCAATATGCTGAAACCCTGTGTCTACTAAAAATACAAAAATTAGTCAGGTGTGGTGGTGGACACCTGTAATCCCAGCTACTAAGGAGGCTGAGGCAAGAGAATTGCTTGAACCCAGGAGGCAGAGGTTGCAGTGAGCCCAGATCATGCCATTGCACTCTAGCCTGGGCAACAAAGTGAGACTCTATCTCAAAAAAATACAGAGGGGAATGGAGAATTAAACAAAAGAAATAGAGCTATGGGTGATCTAAAAATTGGAGGTGGAAACAAAGTCTTGAGAATATTTCTGGTTTTTAAGTTAAAGGAAATAAAGAGAAAAATGTAGAAATAGATAAATAATAGAATAAAGTTTGCAATTTTAACGGAATATTGCTATCTGTAATAAGAACTGAGTAGAAATCCTAGAAATGAAAATAAACAAAATAACTGAAATTGATAAATTAATAGTTTGGTTTATAAGAGACAAGAGGATTAATTCTGTGAGCCAGATCTATGGAAAACTGATCTGAATCACAGAGAGGAGCTGAATGAGAGAAAAAAACTGAGTCAAAGAGAAGACCAAAAATTTAAAAATGAACAAAATAAAAGAGATGCATGAAATTCAATAAAATGTTCTAATAAGTATAATTGCAGTTTGAGAAAGAACAAATGGAGAAAAATGAGACAAAAACTATATAAAAACAGATAAACTGAGAGTGTTTCCGAAGTGATTTATGACATCAACTTTGAGATTCAAGAAGCGTAGGCAAGCGAAATAGAATAAATACAAGAAAGACACTGTAAGGCAGATCTTAGTGAAAGCACTAGAAACCAAAGACAAAGTGGAAAAATGTTTAAAGCAGTCAGAAAAAAGACACCCTCTTTTTACAGAAGCAACTGAAACTGCAAAAAGACTTCCACATCATCGTGTAAACCCAGTATTTTTAAGTGCTGAAATGAAATAGCTTCTAATCTAGAATTCTATATCCATCAAATCCTTCAAAAATGGACACAAAATAAAGACATTTTAAGACAAGCCATAATGAAGAAACTAGACCTGCACTCAAATACTAAAATGTGTTTTTCAGGAAAAAGAAAAATGGCTTCAGATGGAAACATGGACATGCAAGAAAGAATATGGAATAATGAAAGTAAATATGTGGGTAAATAGCAATACCTATGGCCTATAAAACCATAATAAAATGATAAGGTCTTCTGGGGTTTAAAAAAATAATAGTAGTTAAGACACAAGATAATAATAATGCAAAAGGGTGAGAGAAAGGGAAAAGTGCTTAAACCCTATTAGGTGGTAAAATGTCAGGGACACAGCGTCTCAGGGAATAATAAGCTTGGAGAATCATAGGTAGCCACTTAAAAGGGAAAAGGGAAATTAATAAGTGGTTGATTCACAAAAAAATAAAAGAAAAAGAGAAAAAGAAATAACAATATGCAGATGGGTCCAAGAGAAAAACGAAAAGTAAGATGATGCAAATAAACCCAAGTATATCAGCAATTGAATTAAATGTGAGTGGACTAAATATAATCAAAAGTCCAAGATTCTTAGAATGGATAAAATAAACAAAATCTAGCTATATTTGCTCATAGGAGAATCATTATAATAGATGCAGGCAAAAGTTTGCAAGTAAAGGAATAGAAAAAGGGTATACTATATAATCACTAACTGAAGGAAAGCCAGTGTTTCTATACAATAACAGGCAAAGTAGAATAATTACTGCTTTTTAAAGACAAAAAGCGGTAATCACACATAAACAGAGATAGAGAAGGATATTTGATTATGATAAACAGGAAAGTATAACAATTGATAGTTTCTTTTATTATTGTACTTTAAGTTCTGGGGTACACATGTGGATTGTGCAGGATTGTTACATAGGTATACACATGCCATGGTGGCTTACTGCATCCATCCTCCTGTCATCTATATTAGGTATGTCTCCTAATGTTATCCCTCCCCAATCAACCAAACCCCCTGCTACCCCTCCCCTAGTATTCCACCCCCAACAGGCCCCAGTGTGTGCTGTTCCGCTCCCTGTGTCCGTGTGTCCTCATTGTTCAACAACCACTTATAAGTGAGAATATGCGGTGTCTGATTTTCTGTTCTTGTGTCAGTTTGCTGAGAATGATGGTTTCCAGATTCATCCATGTCCCCACAAAGGACATAAACTCATACTTTTTTATGGCTGTACAGTATTTCATGGTGTATATGTGCCACCTTTTCTTTGTCTAGCCTATTACTGATGGGCATTTGGGTTGGTTGCAAGTCTTTGCTATTGTAAACAGCACCACAATGAACATACGTGTGCATGTGTCTTTATAATAGAATGATTTATAATCCTTTGGGTATATACCCAGTACTGTGACTGCTTGGTCAAATGGTATTTCTAGTTCTCAATCCTTGAGGAATCACGACACTGTCTTCCACAATGGTTGAACTAATTTACACTCCCCCCAACAGTGAAGTGTTCCTATTTCTCCACATCCTCTCCAGCATCTGTTGTCTCCAGATATTCTAATGACCGCCATTCTAACTGGTGTGAGAAGGTATCTCTTTGTGGTTTTGATATGCATTCCCCTAATGACCAGTGATAATGAGCATTTTTTCATATGTTTGTTGGCTACATAAATGTCTTCTTTTGAAAAGTGTCTGTTCATATCCTTCTCCCACTTTTTGATGGGGTTGTTTACTTTCTTCTTGTAAATTTATTTAAGCTCTTTGTAGATTCTGGATATTAACCCTTTGTCAGATGGGTAAATTGCAAAAATTTTTTCACATTCTATTGGCCGCTGGCTCACTCTAATGAGAGTTTCTTTTGCTGTGTGGAAGCTCTTAAGTTTAATTAGATCTCATTTGTCAGTTTCGGCTTTTGTTGCCAATGTTTTTGGTGTTTTAGTCACGAAGTCCATGCCTATACCTATGTCCTGAATGGTATTGCCTAGATTCTCTTCTAGGGTTTTTATGGTGTTAGGTCTTATGTTTAGATCTTTAATCCATCTAGAGTTAATTTCTGTATAAGGTGTAAGGAAGGGGTCCCGTTTCAGCTTTCTGTACATGGCTAGCCAGTTTTCCTAACACCATTTATTAAACAGGGAATCCTTTCCCCATTGCTTGTTTTTGTCAGGTTTGCCAAAGATCGGATGGTTGTAGATATGTTGTGTTGTCTCTGAGGCCCCTGTTCTGTTCCATTGGTCTATATCTGTGTTTTGGTACCAGTACAATGCTGTTGATTACTGTAGCCTTGTAGTATAGTTTGAATCAGGTAGTGTGATGCCTCCTGCTTTGTGCTTTTTTGCTTAGGATTGTCGTGGCTATGCAGGCTCTTTTTGGTTCCATATAAAGTTTAAGGTTGTTTTTTTCCTGTTCTGTGAAGAAGGTCACAAGCTTGATGGGGATAGTATTGAATCTAGAAATTATTCTGGGTAGTATGGCCATTTTCACAATATTGATTCTTCCTAACCATGATCATGGGATGCTTCTCCATCTGTTTGTGTCCTCTCTTATTTCCTTGAGCAGTGGTTTGTAGTTCTCCTTGAAGAAGTTGTTCATGTCCATTGTTAGTTGTATTCCTAGGCATTTTATTCTCTTTGTAACAATTGTGAATGGGAGTTCACTCATGATTTGACTCTCTGTTTTCCTGTTATTGGTGTATCGGAATGCTTGTGGTTTCTGCACATTGATTTTGTATCCTGAGACTTTGCTGAAGTTGCTTATCATCTTAAGGAGATTTTGGGCTGAGATAATGGGGTCTTCTAAATATACAATATGTCATCTGCAAATAGAGACAGTTTGACTTTCTCTTTTCCTAATTAAGTGCTCTTTATTTCTTTTTCTTGCCTAATTGCTCTGGCTAGAACTTCCAATGCTATGTTGAATAAGAGTGGTGAGAGACGGCATCCTTGTCTTGTGCCAGTTTTCAATTGGACTGCTTCCAGTTTTTGCACATTCAGTATGATATTGGCTGTGGGTCTGTCGTAAATAACTTTTATTATTTTGAGATACATTCCATTGATACCTAGTTTATTAAGAGTTTTTAGCATAAAGGGCTGTTGAATTTTGTAGAAGGCCTTATCTGCATCTATTGAGATAATCATGTGGTTTTTGTCTTTCTTTCTGTTCATGTGACGGATTATGTTTATAAATTTGCATATGTTGAACCAGCTTTGCATCCCCAGGGTGAAGCCTACTTGATTGTGATGGATAAGCTTTTTTTTTTTTTTTTTTTTTTTTTTTGATGAGCTGATATATTTAGTACATGAAAATAAATACAGAACGATATTAAGATGAAAGTGTTCACTCACAAATCTCCCAGTTGCCCTTGTGTTCCCCAGGCTTCACACACAGCCTGGGAAAACTCCTCTAAGGCTTTCAGACTCAGTTGGAAACTAATCCTGAGCACGAAGCGTGGCTTGAAGGGAGGGGAGGGGACCTCCAGGTTGGCAATCGCACTGTTTATTTGCACTTGGCAGCAAGACAATGGATGATGTGGGAGGTGCTGGGCCCCTGGGTTGGCACTAATTTGGAGTGTGGTTGAGACAGGGCTGGAGTGAGACATCTTCAAGGCAGCCCCCAAATCTGCAATCAGGGGAGAAAAAGGCAAGAAGCGAGTAGAGATTGTCAGGATAAAGGGAGGCACTCTGCCCGCCCCTGCTGTCTGTCTGCCCCTACTGGGGCTTCTTCAATACCTAGGGTTCCCTGGGTGATGAATGTCCTCCCAGAGGACCCTGACAAGGGGTCACACCTCTCGCCGTGGCCCCATAGGCAACCCTGATGAAAGAGTATCATTTCCAAGGGGGCTTTGGTTTCTGGGTGGCCCCACCTTGCCGTGGGGTAGCTGGCACTGAAATGCTGACTGAGCGAGCCCTGGAAGTCACTAGGGGGCTCCGGAAGGTCACCCCTGATGTGGAAGGCCTGGGATCCTGAGGCCTATTTGTGTGGGGGGCACTGGTGGCTGGATGACCAGTGCTGGGGAGATTCAGGTGGGTGAGGGAACGGGAAAGTCCCCGCCTCAGGGGGTGTGACGAGCGTAACCCATCCATGGATAATTTCTGGGAGTCTGCCGCCACCCAGGGCTCTGTCTTGGAGGGACCAGCTGGGTGAACGGCTCGCAGTGGGGCCTCCCTGGGGCGAGGTGAGTGGCTGCCCCTAGGGGTAGCTGGTGGTGTCCAGAAGAGAGCACGTAGTTTTGCGGCATCCCCCTTCGCCATCCGTGGGGCCTCGAAGCTGGCGCCCTCAGATCTGGAGCCAAATAGCGACTCATCACAGTAAGATGGGGTGTGGCTGATCAGTCTGTATCTGTTCTTCTTCCTTGGTGTGAGGGTCAGGGTGCTGTCCCTTGAGGGGGTGGTCTCACAGCTCCCCTTTGCCCCCAAGGCCTTCGATGCCTCCTTGCCCACACCTCTGGTTCTGTTAGCCTTCTCCACCCAGGGAGGATCAAAGTCTTGTGGGGTGGGCCGGGTGCCTGCTGGGCTGCCAAACAGACTCTCATCCACATATGATGGCCTGGCCTTGACCCGGTAGCCAGTCCGGCAGCGGTGCTGAAGGTGGAGGGTCTGCATCCCACTGACAGCCAGCTCCATGGGGGTCTTCATGCTGCCTGTAGTCCCTGGTGACAGTGGGTCTGCTCTGCCGGCCAGGTCCTGCTTCCGAGGCTCCCTCCTGCAAAGAGCTTTACAAGCATTGTTTCATTTAATCCTCTCAACAGCACTGGGAAGTAGCTTCGATTTTGTCCATTTTACGGATCACAAAACTGAGGTGAAGTCACATGAGTAGGTCACACCTATAAAGCTGAGCATCTTGGCTCGTACGCATCAGGGTCCTCAGGTACCTCTCCCTGCGCCTTCTTCCCACCAGGTCTGGACCCCTCGGCGAGGGCACAGAGGCGTTCGGAGCATCCGGGATCCCCGTCAATCTTCGGCCAGGAATGCCCGGGGCCCCGGACTCCCGGCAGCCCAGGCCATACCGGTGCACCAGGCGCGGACAGACGCACCCGTGAAGCCGGCCCAGGCGACGTGTGAGCTGCGCGCGCATCCAGAAACCCAGAACCTGGATAAGCTTTTTGATGTGCTGTTGCATTCAGTTTTCCAGTATTTTATTGAAGATTTTTGCATCAATGTTCATCATGGATATTGGCCTGAAATTTTCTTTTTTAGTGGTGTCTCTGCCAGATTTTGGTTGGTCTCATAGATTGAGTTGGGGAGGATTCCCTCTTTTTGTGTTGTTTGCAATAGTTTCAGAAGGCATGGTACCAGGTCCCCCTTGTACATCTGGTAGAATTCAGCTGTGAACGGGTCTGGTCCTGGACTTTTTGGTTGGTAGGTTATTAGTTGCTGCCTCAACTTCAGACCTTGTCATTGGTCTATTCAGGGATTCGACTTCTTCCTGGTTTAGTCTTGGGAGGGTGTGTCCAGAAATTTATCTATTTCTTCTAGATTTACTGGTTTATGTGCATAGAGGTGTTTGTAGTAATCTCTGATGATAGTTTGTATTTCTATGGAATTGGTGGTGATATCCTCTTTGTTGCTTTTTATTGCATCTATTCGACTCCTCTCTTTTTTCTTTTTTGTTAGTCTGGCTAGTGGTCTAACTATTTTGTTTATCTTTTCAAAAAAACAGCTCCTGAATTCATTGATTTTTTAAAGGGTTTTTTTGTGTCTCTGTTTCCTTCAGTTCTGCTCTGACCTTAGTTATTTCTTGTCTGCTGCTAGCTTTTGAATTTGTTTGATCTTGCTCCTCTAGTTCTTTTCATTGTGACAATAGGGTGTCCATTTTAGATCTTTCCTTGCTTCTCATGTGGGCATTTAATGCTACAAATGTTCTTTCTAGACACTGCTTTAAATGTGTCCCAAAGATTCTGGTACATTGTGTCTTCATTCTCATTGGTTTCAAAGAATATCTTTATTTCTTCCTTCATTTCATTATTTATCGAGTAGTCATTCAGGAGCAGGTTGTTCAGTTACCATGTAGTTGTACAGTTTTGAGTGAGTTTCTTAATCTTGAGTTCTAATTTGATTGCACTGTGGTCTGAGAGACTGTTGTGATTTCCATTGTTTGCATTTGCTGAGGAGTGATTTACTTCCAATTATGTGGTCGCATTTAGAGTAATTGCAATGTGCTGAGAAGAACATATATTCTGTGGATTTGGGGTGGAAAGTTCTATAGATATCTATTATGCACACTTGGTTCAGATCTGAGTTCAAGTCCTGGTTAGCCTTGTTAATTTTCTGTCTTATCAATCTGTCTAATATTGACAGTGGAGGGCTAAAGTCTCCTGTTATTATTGTGTGGGAGTCTAAATCTCTTTGTAGGTCATTAAGAATTTGCTTTATGTATCTGGGTGCTCCTGTATTGGGTGCATATATATTTAGGATAGTTAGCTCTTCTTGTTGCATTGATCTCTTTACCATTATGTAATGCCATTCTTTGTCTCTTTTTATCTTTGTTGGTTTAAAGTCTGTTCTATCAGATACTAGAATTGAAGCCTCTCTGGGTTTTTTTTTTTTTTTCTCTCCATTTGCTTGGTAAATCTTCCTCCATCCATTTATTTTGAGCCTATGTGTGTCTTTGCACGTCAGATGGGTATCCTGAATACTGCACCCCAATGGGTCTTGTTTCTTTATCCAATTTGCCAGTCTGTGTCTTTTGATTGGGGCAGTTAGCTCATTTACATTTAAGGTCAATATTGTTATGTGGGAGTTTGATCCTGCCGTTTTGATACTAGTAGGTGGTTTTGCCCGTTAGTTGAAGCAGTTTCTTCATTGTGTCGATGGTCTTTACAATTTGGTATGTTTTTGCAGTGGAGCTCTTGTAAAGCAGGTCTGGTGGTGACGAAATCTCCCAGCAGTTGCTTGTCCATAAAGGACTTTATTTTTCCTTCACTTGTGAAGCTTAGTTTGGCTAGATATGAAATTCTAGGCTGAAAGTTCTTTTCTTTAAGGATGTTGAATATTGGCCCCCACTGTCTTCTGGCTTCTAGGGTTTCCGCTGAGAGAGCTGCTGAGTCTGATGGGCTTCCCTTTGTGGGTAACCCGACCTTTCTCTCTGGCTGCCCTTAGTGTGTTTCCTTCATTTCAACCCTGGTGAATCTGACGATTATGTGCCTTGGGGTTGCTCTTCTCAAACAATATCTTTGTGGTGTTCTTTGTATTTGCTGAATTTTAATCTTGGCCTGCCTTGCTAGGTTAGGGAAGTTCTGGATAACATCCTAAAGAGTGTTTTCCGACTTGGTTTCATTCTCCCCATCACATTCAGGTACGCTGATCAAACGTAGACTTGGTCTTTTCACATTATCACATATTTCGTGGAAGCTTTGTTCATTTCTTTTCACTCTTTTTTCCCTAATCTTGGCTTCTCTTTTTATTTCATTGACTTTATCATCAATCTCTGATATCCTTTCTTCTGCTTGATTGATTCGGCTATTGAAACTTGTGTATGCTTCATGAAGTTCTCATGCTGTGTTTTGCAGCTCCATCAAGTCGTTTATGTTCTTCTCTAAGCTGTTTATGCAAGTTAGCATTTAATCTAACCTTTTTTCAAGGTTCTTAGTTTCTTTGCATTGGGTTAGAACATGCTCCTTTAGCTCAGAGAAGTTTATTATTACCCACCTTTTGAAGCCTGCTTCTGTGAATTCATCAGACTCACTCTCCATCCAGTTTTGTTCCCTTACTGGTGAGGGGCTGTGATCCCTCGGAGAACAGCATTCTGGATTTTGGTGAATTCAGCCTTTCTGCACTGGTTTCTTCCCATCTTTGTGGATTTATCTACCTTTGGTCTTTGAAGATGGTGACTTTTGGATGGAGTCTCTTAGCGAACTTCCTTTCTGTTGATGTTGAAGCTATTTCTTTCTGTTTTTTAGTTTTCCTTCTAACAGTCAGACCCCTCTGCTGCAGGACTGCTGGAGGTCCACTCCAGACTCTGCTTGCCTGGGTATCACCCACGGAGGCTGCAGAACAGCAAGGATTGCTGCCACTTACTTCATCTGTTAGCTTTGTTCCAGAAGGGTACCCACCAGATGTTAGCTAGAGCTCTCCTGCAGGAGGTGGCTCTTTGGATATATGGAGATCAGGGAGCCACTTGAGGAGGCAGTCTGTCCCTTATCAGAACTCAAATGCTATGCTGGGAGCTCTGTTGATCCCTTCAGAGCTGCTGGGCAGGCATGTTTAAGTCAGCTGCAGCAGAACTCACAACCACCCCTTTTCACAGGTGCTCTGTCCTGGGAAGGAGGGTCTTTATTTATAAGTCCCTGATGAGCTGCTGCCTTTTTTCATTGATACCCTGCCCAGCAAGGAGGGAGTCTAGTCACAGTCTGCCTACAGAGGCGTTGCTGAGCTGATGTAAGCTCCACCATATCTGCTGTGTAAACTTCCTTGCGGTTTTGTTTACACAGGCAAGGTTAGAACTGCCTCCTTAATGGCGGACTGCCTCCGTTATGGTGGACACCCCTTACTCCACTGAGCTGGATCATCCCAGGTTGAGATGAAACTATTGTGCTGGCTACGAAAATCTCGAGCCAGTGGGTTTCAACTTGCTGGTCTTTGCCGGGGTGGGACATGCTGAGCCAGATCACTTGGCCCCCTGCCTTCAGCCCCCTTTTTTTCTTTTGTTTTCTTTTTTTTGTTGTTGTTGAGGCAGAGTCTCACTCCATTGCCAGGTGCCAGGCTGGAGTGGGCAGTGGTGCAATCAGCTCACTGCAACCTCCGCCTCTCGGGTTCAAGCAATTCTCCTGCCTCAGCCTCCTGAGTAGCTGGGACTACAGGCACATGCCACCACACTCAGCTAATTTTTGTGTTTTTAGTAGAGACGGGGTTTCACCATGTTGGCCAGGATGGTCTCGATCTCTTGACCTCGTGATCCAACTACCTCAGCCTCCCAAAGTGCTGGGATTACAGGCTTAAGCCACCACGCCCAGCCACCAGCCCCCTTTTTTTTTTTCAGGGAAATGGGCTTTTCTGTCTCCACTCATTCCAGGTGAGGGCTAAAACAACTGCCCAGTATTGTACTGGAAACCCACGCGGTACTGGCAGGAATCTCCTGGTCTTTGGGCTGTGGGAGAAGACTGTGGGAAAACTGTAGTATCTGAGCCAGAGTGCCAGAGTGTCTGGCAAAGTCCCCGATGGCCTCCCTTGAGTAGGAGAGGGAGTCCTCCCGTCCCTTGCACTTCCTGGGTGAGCCAACATCCCACCCTACCTTCGTTTGCCCTCCTCGGGCTACACCCACTGTCCAACCAGTCCCATTAAGATGAACCTGGTACCTCAGTTGGAAGAAAATGTGAAGGTCACTCACCTTCTGCGTCACTCTTGCTGGGAACTGCACTCCAGAGCTGTTCCTATTTGGCCACCTTGGTGGAAGTACAACAATTATTAGTTTCTATGCACCAGTTAATACTTTAAATATATAGAATATAAATAATATACATAGGTTATACATTATATAGATAAGATCAAGTATACGATAAATAAATAGGTAAATATAGATAGAAATAAAAGAGACAGAACTATAATCATAGTGGGAGAATTTAACGCCTCTCTCTCTCAATAAGTAATTTAAAAGGCAACCAAAAGACTGGACCATGTTAGCAGACTTATTCTAATTGTAATGTACAGGATACTACAACTAACAATAATGGAATAAAACTTCATTTCAATAGCATTTGTAAATTTACCAAAACTGATATTAGTACATTTTAAAATATTCAGATAATTCAGAGTATATGCTCTTTCCACATTGTCATTAAAATAGAAGTAAATAATGAAATGATAAATATAAGATACCCAGCTGTTTGGAGAGTAAGCGGAAGCTCCCAAATAGCTCCTCTGTCAAGGTAGAATTAAAAATGAAAATTAGAAAATATTTGTTACTTATGAAATACCTATCAAAATATGGAGTATACAGATAAAGCAAGCACTACTTAGAAGGAAGTAAATAGAAGGAATATGGAAAAAAAGAAGACAGACTGAAAATCAATAACTTAAGCTCCCATTTGAAAAACAGGAAAAAGAATGCTAAATCACCTCCAAAGAAAACAAAAGGAATGGAGCCATAGAT